TCTTTCCCTCACTTCTGTAAACATACTCCCTTTCTTTAAATGATAAAAAAAATAAAGATGCCCACATTCCAGTTTGTACTTGATTTAATAATTTTACATTCAGAACCAGCCCTATATACTCCCCAACTGAGAAAAAAAATGTCCAGAGTTTTTTAAAAAAAAAAGAAAGAAAGAAATTTTGAACATGTGAACTCAAATCCTGGATTTAAAATTCCAGTAACTGCTGAGTTATCTCTCTAAATAGAGTAACTGAAGGAAATCCAAAATGCTAAAGTTCACTTGGAACAGTAAAATGTACTTGATTGCATCAATCACTTCAGATGAGGCAAACTGACAACCTGGTTTTCCTGCACCTGCCAATGTTGGTTGTGTATAAACACATATGCGGTAGGCCTTGTGTTGTTTTATAGGTTCTCTCAAATACAGTATTATTATGTTGCAGTGATCAGGTGGGGGCAAGAGGAGAGAATGACTCATCCCAACATGAGCAGCATCCTGTTCCAAGTATTTCTCCAAGGAGATCATTGAGACAGTGGCATTTGCTCCCTGGCACTTGACTTAAACCAGGCAGGAAGTTCAGGAAGCTGTGCTCAAACCTCACCCAACAGCTAAGGTTATCAACTCACAACACTGCTTCAGTCCTGTCACTTATGGAATTCTAATGTGTCTTCAAGGTCACTTTCATCTCCACCCTCCTCTCCTTTTCCACTCTGTGATAAGTCAGTCATCCCCACCCAGACAGTGGGCTTCACAGTCAGGCTGCCCTAAAGGCTTATTCACATCAGTCACTTAAGAATAGCCCTCAGAGGGACCAGCAGTTAGTGTACCGGCTATGCCGCTGGACTCCCATGTAGTCGACTGCAGTTTGAGTCCCAGACCTGGTGGCTTAAACTCACGCCAGGTGGGGAACCAGCAGTTAGCTTAATGGCTATGTCGCTGGACTCCTACATAGTCGACCGCGGTTCGCATCCCGGACCCGGTGGCTTAAAACTCACACCGGGCACGTGTGCATGCGTGCCCAAGATCCCTAGAGGAGAATGGAGGAGAAGGGATTGCGGTGTGACCATCCCCTCTGGGGGGAATTTCTCACTTTCTGTCTCTATGTCTCTCTCTGTCTGTCTGTCGAGCGCACACGCCCTACAGCAAAAACCTCTCAAAAAAAAAAAAAAAACCTCACGCCAGGCACATGTGCGTACGTGCCTAGGATCCCGAGAGGAGAATGGAGGAGAATGGATTGTGGTGTGGCCATCCTCTCTAGGGGGTTATTTCTTGCTTTTCTGTCTTTCTGTCTCCCTCTGTCTTTCTGGCGAGCGCATGCACCCTACAGCAAAAACCTCTCCAAAAAACAAACAAAAAAAAGCATAGCCCTCAGATAGCCTGGATTTTCCTTTCTCATCTCCCCTATTTGAAAATTAATCTTTACTTCTGTCTTTACATTATGGTCCTTGCTATGGAACAAATGGCTAGTTAATCTGTGTTCAAGTATTCACAGGTGAGGCTGGCTTTCAGTGTAATCACTCCTGCTCCCCAGGGAAACCATCTTCAGTTAAACATGAGCCTTTTAGAGGTAAGTGAGCTTCTAGCAGACAACAAAATCAGTGCCAAAAAGGTGATACTTTGTGGCTAGTGATTTGGGGGAAGAAGGTCTTCCACATCTCTCATTTAACTCCCAAATAGACAGTTATTACATCTAAATGTAGAATTGCCTTAGGCATGGGTCAGACAAATAGTTTCAACTTATTTTTTAATTTACCAAGTTTATACCTATAGTGAAGACTTGATACTCACAAAATTCATAAAATAAACAGGACTTTGACTCTCAATCAAATGAAAAATGAGCAAAAACTAACTTGCTTCTTTTTGTAATCATTACAAATAATATGACAAATGCAAAAATACTAAAAAAAAAAGTTGCTTTTACAAACCTGTACAAAGTCAAATATGGTAAGAGGCAGAAGGTCATCCAAAATAGCTATATCTTTGGAGAATCTATTAAGAATCCCACCTATAATATAAAGAAAAATAAATTCTTTCTAAGTCAGTAATTGTAAAAAGATGCATTAGTACATTTAACACTAAATTTAGATCATAGCAGAAGCATTCAGAGCTCAAGTAGGAATTAGAACGTAATTAGATAAATAAGAACTTGGAAATGTTTAGTATTGTACAAAGATTGAAAGTAACTATGCATTCAATTTATTGTGTCCAATTTTAAAACCTTTATAAAATACAGATGCATGCAAAAACCGGTCTTTAATAGAGCCTTTACTATAAAGTATGTCTGGAATGAGCACTCATCTTACTATTACAATCTCACATTCTGTGACTGTGAGTTTAATGATAATTTACTAAATATACTGTCACCATCCCCCTTACATCTGTATCCTACAGCATAGAGCTCTCCTTTAACTTCCGTATCTTTTTAACACACCTCTACACAATCTGTGACTGCTCTCTCTCTCTCTCTCTCTGCCTGTACAGCACATGGACCTCCTTTAGCATAGTTTTGCTTTCTACCCTCTTCACTAGAAACTTGATCTTCAGCCTGTCTTGTAAATTCCGGACCCACAATTGTATGTCTGATAATTTATTGCTTTAATAAATAAAAAAAAGTTATATATGGAGTGTCTACTGTGTGCCAGGTACAATGCTGGGCACTGAGATAAGAGAGATGAATGAGCCATGATCCTTGCCTTTGAGAAATTCATTGTCTAGAGAAGAGTTAAACATACAGTTAGATAAAGTGGAAAAAAAAATACTCTACAAAGTGCTATTGCATCTTATCATTCATTCCTCCATTAACTGAAGGATAAAGTCCAAAATTCCTAGTTTAATGTTTAATGCCTTCCATAATTTAGCCTTAACTCACTTAGCTAGTACAAGATTCTTCTACTCAAGCATCCTGTTTCAGTCAAACTGTGAATACATTTAATACTTTTCTGGACCCTATTTTCCCCATGTGGTTTCCTCTGCCTGAAAACCCTTTCCCTTCATCTGTATTTGTCAAAATGTATGTCCTCTCCCTGGCCCGACTCGAATTCTTCTACAAAGAAGCATTTGGTTGCTCCAGCTGAAATTAATCTCCTCCTCTGAACATACTCCATATATTTATAACATCTTGTTTGCACCTCTGCATACAGCAGCTATGTACATATTTTACATCATAGTCATTTGTGTACACCTTATTTTTTATAGATTGTATATTACTAGAAATCACTGGGATCATGACACTTTTATTTTGTATTACCCATAACCCCAAGCAAAATGCCTTATAAGTGGAAACTATTTAATACGTATTTATTAGCTCATGATATCTATAAACACTGTTTTAAAAATGAAAGTGTGCTTTGGTGGGGGGAAAAATGTATCCTGGTGCTTATTACATTTCAAATAATAGTGTTCTATCAACATATACATTCACACTTTCATCCATTCAACATACTTAGCTGAGTAACTATTGTGTGTCTATGTGGCTTAAGGTCATTTAACAGTGACAAACAGTGACAAAGGAAAACCAGGTAAGGAGTCAGGGAAAATCAAGGTCAATGTACAATCACAGAAGGATACAAGACAAGGAAGCAATGGCTGCTGCTATGTACAGCGGAGACTATCGAGGTGACATAAAGAGAATAAAAGAACTATGAGCCAATAATAGAGTTGGCTTTTGTTTTTTTAAGAGGCTATTTTTGCCTTTGCACATGTGCGCTCACCAGTGAGAGAGAGAGACAGAGAGAGAGAGAGAACAAGTGAAAAATCATCCCTCAGGGGAGAAGGCCACACTGTAATCCCTTCTCCATTCTCCTCCCGGGATCTGAGGCATGTACGCATACGTGTTTCATGTGAGTTTCAAGACACCTGGTCTGCGTAGGCCATGTGGGAGTCCAGCAATATAACTGCTATGTCATCTGCTCTTCCCAGTAGAACTGACTTTTAAAGAAAAGCATAATCCTTACACATAGAATGGAAAGGGGAGTAGAAAGGGACATAATAGATTTCGTTAGATAATCTTGCTATCTCAGTTCTCAGAACCATGTAAGGAAGACTAAGAACGACACTGAGATGTTCAGGAACCATCCTATAAAGCAGGTGAAAGTTTGTTAAGTAAGATAAATGAGAAAATTACATAAACAATGATCATTTAAACATGAAATAGGAAAGGTTCAGAACCAACTCTGAGAAGCATTTAAAGGAATGAAGAGCGTGAAAAAATAGTGTTGGAAAGTTATGTGCACCCACTGTGGGAACACAGCCACAGAAGGAAACAGCAATGGGGAACCAATTTGTTTTGTGTTGACTATATAATGGGAGAGTAAATTGCCATGTTTCGTTCTCACAAAGGTTTTTCCCCACTTTACAGGCAAGCAGGTCAAGGCTCAAAAGAGTAACTGTCCCATGATTACTGCTTCTACAAAGCTGCTCCAGGGCTCTAACAATGCTTGTGTTTCTTTCTACTGTATTTCATGGCCCATTCCTCACTCTACCTGAAACTTTGGCAAATACCCTATCTTTTCTGGGTCTCATATTCCCGTAACATTAAAGTCACTGGACCAAGTAAATTGGACATCCCCTTCAGTCTAGAAGTCTTAGCTCTAAAATAGATGATAGTAATGAGGATATCCAGATAGGCAAGAATTTAATTACACACAAGGTCTGGCTTGCTTTCTCACCTTTCCTCTCTCACTCTCTCTCTCTGATCAAATTAAGTAATAATAACGGCAAATAAAATTAAATAAATAAATAATTTTAAAAATAGATCAAAAGAATCCCACATAGTAACACTGGTATTTGTTATCTCACGAAAAGGTTGGGTATTTCTGAAGATTTCTATTTAGAAATCACTCTAAAAATATCAGTATTGGAACTTACTCTTTGATAATCAAGTATTTTTTTTAACTATTTTTTTTTTTAGAGGTTTTTGTTATAGGGCACGTGCGCTCACCAGACAGACAGAGAGGGACAGAGAGACAGAAAGCGAGAAATCACCCCCCAGAGGAGATGGCCACACCACAATCCCTTCTCCTCCATTCTCCTCTCCAGATCTTGGGCATGCACGCACACACACCTGGCGTGAGTTTTAAGCCACCGGGTCCGGGACGCGAACCACGGTCGACTACATGGGAGTCCAGCGACATAGCCATTACACTAACTGCTGGTCCCGATAATCAAGTATTTTTGACTCCACCTTTTCCTCTCATCTGTGAGTTCCTCCAGAGAAAAAAACAGTGCCTTGTTCATCTTTCTGTACCTGCCCCTGGCTTACTGCCATACAGAGTAAGTATTCTGTAGATTGTTGTAATAATAAAACTTGGGAGAATTCCAAAGTTATTTATCTCAAAGTCTTTAAACAAGAATTTGTTCGGACTAGCAGATGGTGTAATGATTATGTAACTGGATTCCCACGTAGTCAACTGTGGTTTGAGTCCTGGACCCAGTGGCTTAAAACTTAAACCAGGCATGTGTGCATGCATGCCCAAAATCCCGAAGGGAGAATGTAGAACAGACCATGGCATGGTCATCCTGCTTTCTGTCTCTCTGTCTCTTCAGCTAGTGCATGTGTCCTATAGCAAAAATCTTTCTCAAAAAAAAAAAATTGTTTAAAAGGGGAAATAATGGATTTGATTATTTTCAAAGTACCTTACTATCCTACCCTTAGTTTTAAAATTTTTTAGTCCCTTTAGTCAGCTACTCCTACTTTTTGTGACTTTATATAAAAGGACATCAAAATAGTTTTAAAATACATTTGTAGGCTTAGCCACTGTGGTGCAGCAAGTGCCCTCCAGTACTGGAAGCCATATGACCAACAGTGGATTTGGAGTCCCAGGTCAACCTAAAAACATGCCAGGCATATGCATGGGTGCCCAGAATCCTTAGGAGCTAGAGCTGGGAAAAAGGAAAAAATGTGACAAGACCCTGTCCAAGCACTTCTCTCATTTTCTCTCTCTTCCTAACATGTCTTTGCTCTCTATAAAATATATATACTTGGTATCTAAAACAGGAAAAAATGTGACAAGACCCTGTCCAAGTACTTCTCTCATTTTCTCTCTCTTCCTTACATGTATGTGCTCTCTATAAAATATATATACTTGGTATCTTCCTTTAGAAAAAATGGAACGAATTTATATGATCATCTTTGAACACTTACATGAAACTAGATTATTCTACCCATCAAAAGACTTTATCGGTAAAAGAATTTTATATTTTCCTTGATCCATTCAAATCTCTTCCTCTTGAACAATACTGTAAATTGGCAACAGATGCCCAGAAAGGGGCTAGACCAAATATCTAAAAAGAGAAGGAAAACCGATCCAGATGGAGCTCTTTTGTGCTATAGTCTTATCACCATCAAGTTTGAACAAACTGAGCTACTCCTGTTGATACAGAAATAGCAGAAGCAACAGTAGATGATAACCAATAATATCTGAAAAATGTACATGCCAGTCATAGGAGGCTCAACGAAGGGCAGATACCTCTATGCAAAGACCAGGGCTGCTGCTAGAAAGCCAACTGAACCTCAGGCCCTACTCATAAGGGATCAGCAATTTCATTTTATATACCTAGTCAAGTACCTGCTTTCAATGTGTTGAGGGTTGACATTGGTGCTTGAAGAACAGAATGTAACATTCTGTTGTGTAAAATTTTGGACACTGTGATTAGAGCATGCACCAGTGGTAGGCCTCGGAAGATTCCCAGAGCAAGCAAAGTGTCCGCTACTCCCACGTAAATGTAAAAAACATAATAGGAGCTTGTGTTGGTGATAATCACTGCATAGCCGTTATGTGTATTGTTAGTACTATTCCCTTTGTCTTGAGGAGAAGCACTGTAAAGTAAAAGGGAAAGTGTTACTTGGCAACCAAACTTGCCTATTGAATTTCCAGTATATGTAAATGAAACTAAATTTGAATCTAAAGAAACACAATATGTAACATTAGCAAAGCTTCTGCTTTTAATCACAAAACTTACTATTACTATTACAAGAAAGGCCATTTTCTCATCATTGACATAGATAAAATTGATCTTTATTAGATTAAAATATTTAGAGAAAATACTAAATGTATACTGTTTTGAATATTTTTAGTGTATTTCATGGAAACTTAAAACAACTAATTCCTTTAGAAATTAATCAAGAGTTACAGGAGTTATGCAGGCACACAATTTAAGGAAAACAATTTGATTTTCTACTGCCATAATTCTGGGGAAAAGAAATATATTAGATATTATAATATTTAATATGACCCAAGTAATCAATGGAAACAAAACACAATCCACAATAGGTTGTAGAATACTTACTCTCTCAGTAGCCACAACAAAACCAATGAAAGAGCCACCTGGAATGGAACAAATACATAGCTGATTATATCTCCTAACAACTTTACATACTCTTCCCATGCCCACCTTTAAATTTGCCATGACCAACATCAAATACATACAATTTCATTTTCTTTTGCTTTGGTTTCCTGGGTCTAGCACCATTATTGTGGCGAGAATGCATTAGGTTAATGGAATTCGAGTGTCACTGAAGTAAATATTTGTTATTTCTCTCCTTGACTCAATAGAAAGTAAACATTGAACCTCACAGGAAAGCTAAGACTACAGCTACATTTAAAAAATAATAAACTGTGTTTTTCGTTTTCCTGCCAGAGGGTACATGTGCTTGCCAGAGAGAGACAGAGAGAAATAGACAGAAAGGGCCAGCCTTTCTGAAGAAAGCAACCCCCAAAGGGGCGTGGTCTTGCTACGATCCTCTCTCTTCTGTTTGTCCATCCTGTTAGAATTTGGACCACACTCACACAAATGCCCAGCATGTTTTTCAAGCTTCCAGGGCCGGATATTGAACCTCAGTTGACCATGTGGAATCTGGCTCCCTTAACCAATGAGGCCACAGGGCTGGCCCTAAATTTCATTTTTTATAGAGACTAATCTCAGCCTTCTGGCAGAAAATTAATTTATTTAGTTGATATACTTAATTTCATTTGCTGTTCAGTTATTATGGAGGATTAATACTTGTGAGACATTAATTACTGGAAAAAGTGAGATGAATACTTTTGAAAATCAACTGAAAGTTTGCCACTTGGCCAGTTCAGTGGCACAATGGTAGCTTGCTGCTCGGGTAACACTGAATCCATGTAGAAGATCATGGGTTTGGTTCTTAGGCTGACCCCTACACACCCAGTGAACTGAAGATGTACATGCCCATCGCAGCATGAGACTCTGTTGAGGGTGCTTGTCTTTCTCTCTCTCTGTGTCTCTCCCTTGCATAAAAGAATAAATAAACTTTTTTAAACATTTCAGCAATGGGCCAGTTGGTGCATGGCAGTTAGGGTGGCTGAATCTTACATGGCCAACTGCGTAGTTCAAGCCCTGGACTTGATGGCTTGAAAAATGCCAGGCATGTATGCATGTAGGCCCAAAATCCTTAGAGGAAGATGGAGAAGACACTGAGACACTGCAGCATGGCCATCACCCCTGGAGGGTGTTTTCACACTTTTCCTCTTTCTGTCTCTCTGTCTTTTGGGGAGTATACATGCCATATAAATTTAAAAAATAAATAAATAAAAAATAAAAAAAACACTGTTCACTTAGGCCACACTAAACTTATAAAAAAATAAAATTTCAGGGGCCAGCAGTTAGCATAATGGCTATGTCACTGGACTCCCATGTAGCCGACCGCGGTTCGAGTCCCAGACCCGGTGGCTTAAACTCGCACCGGGTGCGTGTGCGTGCATGCCCAAGATCCCAAGAGGAGAATGGAGGAGAAGGGATTGCGGCGTGGCCATCTCCCCTGGAGGGTGATTTCTCGCGTTCTATCTCTCTGTCTCTCTCTGTCTGTCTGGTGAGCACATGCGCCCTATAGCAAAAACGTCTCCAAAAAATAAATAAATAAAATTTCAACAGTATAAAAATTCACAGTTTATCAATAAAAGGTACATTCAGGTTAAAATACACATTATTTGGTACTAGAATTACTTAGGACTTAGAGCTTTCTTAGAGGGGAAACACAAAGCTGAGAAAATATATTCTAAACCATATCTAAATAAACAAACAAAAAATTTAAACAATTGTGATTTGTGTATATTTCTTAATATTTAACTTGTCAATGCACTGTTATATTTCATTTTGGCTTTCCATTCTCATAACCTTGTGAAGAAATTCAATTTTCTGTTGATGTACTTACAATTGTACTATTAGAACTGACTCTGAAATTATATAGGTAGACAAATAAAAAGCATACCAGAGAATGAAATAAAACAAACTAGCAAGTGTGCTTAAAATAACTTTGGAGATGAACAGACTAAAAGTAAGCCCAGTGTTGGTGCCACCCACTACTAAGACGTACTCCATGGACTGAAATGAAACCATATAATGGCCCAGGTTCAAATCCCAGGTGCAATGGTATGCACCTACTATTTCAAGGACCCAGGGAGGCAGAGGCAGTAGGATTACAGACTTAGAGCAGACCTTACAGCAAAACGTGACATTGTCCACAGAATAGCTGGACATGGTGACATATCTGTAGTCCCATCTAGGAGATTGAAAGATCAAGACACAGTGATACCTTGCCTTAAATAAACAAATACATAAAAGGGAAACTAGAAATAAGATGATAATAAATTTTATTTCTCACTTTAATTTACTTCAAATCTTTGAATATTATATTTAAAAAAACTTATAAGGAACATTTAGCTTAAGAAATTACAACATGGACCCAGCAGGTGGTGTAGTGGTTAAGATATTAGACTCCCACATGATTGACTGTAGTTTGAGTCCTGGACCTAATGGCTTGAAACTCATACCAGGCACATATGTGTTCAAGTCCAGAATCCCAAGAAGAAAATGGAGAAGGAACTGAGGTGTGGCCAACTCCCTGATTTCTCACTTTCTGTCTCTGTCTGTCTGTCTCTCCAGCAAGCACAGAATCCTATAGCAAAAATCTCTCAAAGAAGAAATTACAATATGAAGTGCTATACTTTAAAGAAATGTGTAAGTTTTAGTGAAATTCATATATCATTGATTTCAGATAGAAGTATAATGATAAAAAAACATTATAGCAAGGGCCAGCAGGTGGTGTAGTGGTTAAGGAACTGGATTCTCATGTGGCTGACTGCAATTTGAATCCCGGACCCAGAAGCTTGAAACTCACACTGCAATGTGTGTGTGCGTTCAAAATCTGAAGAGGAGAATGAGGGAAAAGGGATTGCATTGTGGCCATCGCCCCGGGGGTGATTTCTTACTTTCTCTGTCTCTCAGTGAGTGTTTACACACTATAGCAAAAAAAAACCTCTCTAATATATATACAAGCATTATTCTAACTTTTCTACGTTTCTTCAACACATAGCCACCATGCACTATATCAATAAAAAGAAACACTGTTGTTTCCTTAAAATTCAAGTAAATTTAGAATGACAAGAAACCCAGCAAAAATCTAAAGTCTTTGTTCTAGCACAAATGTCTTACTATCACCTAAGACTAATCAAATTAAACAAGATCTTAGATAAGTGTATACATTTTTAAAATAATTATTTTATTTAACTTTATTTATTTATTTTAATCTGATATTTTGACCAGAGAGGGACAGAGAGAGAGAGAGAGAGTGGGAGAGAGAGAAAGTGAGAAAACAAGCTGCCAGGTCCAGGACTAGAACTAATGGTTGGCCATGTGGGAGTCCAGCACCCTTAAACACCATGCTACCTGCCAGCCCCAAGTGTATACATTCTGAGTCATTCTTTGGTTCCTGTCTTCATTTTTTGTTCCAATGAAAGGAGTATCAATAATGCTGCTATTGCCAACATTCTCAGAATGTGAATAAATCTCAGGAATAAATGTCTTATGATATTTACAAACAGAACAATAGCCAAAACCAGTTTTCTAACGAAGTAGTCTATTCATCATAATATAGCATTTGCTGGCTCTATCTGCATGGAATCATAACACAAACTACTTTTAGTGACAAGAATAAAAATATTTTCGAGGGCATGACAGAGAAACTTTAGCAAAACTATTTGGGGGTATATAGAAATGATTGAGTAAACAAGTCTTATTATTTCATTTCCAAACCCCTTTGAGGCCATAAAGTTTATACAATTTATGGTAGGAATAATCTTAGATGATTAGGAGGAAAAGCAAAAGGGTTTTTTATTTTCTCATGGTTTTAAACATCATTCTATATCACTCGAATACAGTATATTGAATACACAGACTTCAGTGTTTCCCAGGTCAAATTATGTCCTGAAACATAGTAAGAGAAGCTGCCCTAGAAGGTTACTATCAGTCAATAGCAGAGGTACTATTATGAGAGTAGACTACATCTCTGTTTTAGTAATGTAAAGCCACTTAAGGAGTCCTGTTAGCAAACAAAAGGGAAGCCATAGAAGGACAAGACATAGCAGTTCTCTGATACATTTTTGAAAATCATACAATGAAAGCACTAAACAAGGTCTTTAAACACTTCAGTCAACAATACCCTGTGGTTTTTGTAGAAGAACCAGAAAAATGGCTTTTAATTTATTATTTACATTTCTTCTCTGACTAGTCAATGATATACTGCCAAAAAAAAAAAGATACTAGAAGTAAGACAGGAATTAGACCCAATGAGTAGGTAATAGGGTAGAGACCTCTGAGGAAGAGTCACTATTATAGGAAACAGACACACACATATATTAAGATAGAACCAACTTATAAAATGGAGTCACTCTGGTGATGAAGCTTTAGAGAAGGGTTGCTCATTGCTCTCACTAAGGATTAGGTATTGGCTCTTGCTGCTTGCTCACACAGAACTACTTACAACCAGAGCTGTTTTACAGTTTGCTTGATCAATCACAGTCCATCAACAAATGCAACCAGACCCTCTTCCAACCCCCTTCATCCCACCTTCTCCCACCTGGCTCTTGGCACAGGGAAGGTTGCTATCTTCCTTCCTGCCACCCAGGTATACACACAAAAATTCACCACCAGGATGGGACAGTAACTCAACACCCTGATTCCCTTGGGGAATCAGGGCAGGTCTCTACTTTCTCTACTTAGACACCTAGACTTAAAAAACTGGGGATTTCACACAACACAGCTCAACTCCCCTTTGTATAGCAGCACTCCCTGCAGGCAACTCACTGGCTCCCTACAGGTCCTTTTGAGCAGCACTAAGCATGTCAATGAGCTGGCATTTCTCCTCAGTGTGATAGCCAGTCCTGCAAGAAGCTTCTCTCTTCTAACAAGGCCAGGTTCTCAGAGACAGAACAAGTGTAAATAAAAACAAGCCTAAACAAAACCCCTGTGACACAGATAAATTACCGCTTGCCTCAGTTTTTCATCGGCAACTCATTTTTCAGGACCT